ATATATATGCTGTGCAAAGGGGAGTGAATGTATTCTTAGAACAGCTCACATCCCTATTTATATACTCGCATGTTTATAAAGCAAAGTTTTAGTTATCAGCATTTGTAGAGTGTTCTTCGATAATGTATGATAGATCGCCACGGAGTATTATCGAGTATGCACGCACGCGCAATTTGCAATACGCTGGCGCTACTGTCCATAATATGTGGTCACGTACCTGGCACACAACAAAGGCAAGCGTAGCAGGCTGGTGTGTGTGTTAGAGGCCCCTGTATTCACACACCTGTTGTGATTATGTCTGTGCATCGTTTCTCCGCAGAACGCTGAAGCCGCCACCGACGAGGAACGGGAGTGTCTGGATGTTGTAGGTGGATATCACACCGGAGAATTCATCAATGTCTTTCGGCACGGGTATGTTATTGGCGATATGTGTACTCCCTGACATTGTGTATTATAGTTATTGTAGTTTAAAGGGTGTTGGGAGAAAGACATGGGCCATGCTCGATTGCAGTCATTGTATCAGTGGAGAAACACGTAGTCGAAAGAGCTAGAGGGATGTGCATTCCATGGGATGTAGTGAGTTTTTGATACAGTACCAGTAAAGGTGAGTTTATTCCACGCATATGCACATACAGGCACACGCTCACACACGCGCACATACACATACATACATATTTGCAACCAAGTAGCTGGTTATGTGAACTGGCAACAATCCGCCGCAAGGGTGCAATTCAATATGGTGTACTTTACCGCCATTAGTATGAATTACACGCGGACAGACGCAAGTACGCGCACGCACACGACCACGCACTCTCAAATACGCACTCACATACGGACAAATAATCACATACAGACTTTATGTGCACAGACATATAAACCTGAAGTTCGCACACATGTCTGCATACACATACATGCCACTCAGAAATGTGCGCACATACACACCCGAACACTCGTATATTGGCACAGACACCCAAACACTCACAAATACACGCACATATATATGCTTATATGCATATACTCACAATTATATGCACACATACACACCTAAACACTCACACGTATACGCACATACGCATGCATGCACACATACACTCGCAAACACTCACAAATACACGCACGTACACATGCATGCATACACACAAACAGATCGCTCGTGATGCGAACGGGAGACGAGCCTCCGGAGATGGTCCGACCCAATGTGGTGTTTGGGACTGTCAGTGGCATGATTGGTGTTATGGGTTCATTGACTGAGGAGATGTACTTGTTCTTGGACGATCTGCAGACGCGGCTGGCAGAGATCAAGGTACTACCGATAGGATGTTGTACATTAAGCCGATGCTATGGTGTTTGATGTGTGTGTGAGTGTGTGCTACGGATATGTGCAGTTTCCCATTTGATTTGCGAAGGCGTGGTTGTGCGAAGCGCATCTGTGCACGATGGGAAGTGACGATGAATTGCGCAAGGATAAATATACAAGCTACCTATAAACTATAACGTGACGTTTGGCTCTATAGCTTAAGCTCAACGAAATTGTATCATGTCATATCACACCTAAACTGGTGCACTCTGTGTCGTATTTTCCGTTCGTAGTCATGTGTATGTCTAGCGATCCGCGCGTCCCTCACATTTCCTGCAGGAACTGTGTGTTCTGTAGGGTAGGGTGTGGGTTGTAGTACACCTACGGTAAGCATCTGATCTGTTGAGAGCCCAATAGATTCGACGCACCTTTCTATGACAAACTTGCTATCACAGGTGCAAGTCGCCACCAGCCGAGAGTTGTATCTAGAACGCCTTTAACTGTGCTATGTCGTCCCTATTGACACGGTTAAGTACTAAATGTACATATCTCAGTACTGACTTTCTACCAGCATACACACTGTTGGTACGTGTTCTCTGTAGTATAGGTACACACAGAATCGATCGACTTTGTATTTCAACCGCCTACAAACATTGACTCACACTCCAACCCCTCATTAACTTGCGGTATGTGTATCTGTTGACTATGTTAGGGCGTAGGAGGCCTGTCGCACAGCACGTGGCGAGAGTACAAGACTGAGCGGCGGATGAAGACGGCGTGGCACTACATAGACGGGGATCTGATAGAGTGGACACTGGAATTGCCCAGAAGCAAGCTAGTACAAGTAAGCGTCTTTGTATGCACTGGTTTGTTTTGTGATTGATGTAGAATACGAATGATCTCTCCAATGATGAGCGCCAACATTTGATAAGGCGACGAAGATACGCGTGTATGGTTGTTGTGCGGCTGGTTAGCTGTCTAATATATATATATATATATATATATATATGTGTGTGTGTGTGTGTGTGTGTGTGTGTGTGTGTGTGTGTGTGTGTGTGTGTGTGTGTGTGTGT